GTCAAAAGCAGCACTGAGATCTAAGAGGACAAGTACAGAGACAAGTCCTTTGTCTGAGGCTAGGAGGAGACTGTTGGTGACTTTCACCAGTTTCTGTATGATGGACTCTAAATCCTGACTTAAAATCCTCAAACAAACCACTCCTGTGCAGGTGGTCACATGACTGCTTTGCAGCAGCTTTTTCAAGGCTTTTAGAAATAAAGGGGAATATAAGGTTGCATTTACAACTGAAATGTTGCTCTAATAATTTATTTCAGTACTTCACTCTGCAGAACTGCTTCCAATTGCAAGCGGAGCTGGAAGCACTGCTGTTTTGGTTCACAATGTGATGTGGGATATAAGGCTAGGTTTCATTTCAGTTGTGACATGACCAATTAAAGGTTCATATTTACAGTATGTGGCCTCATTAGACTCAATGTCATAACCTGTAACAGGTACAGTTAAAGGACACAACCGCTTGTAAAGCACTTTCTTTTATAATTACAACATGGTGCCCTCCTGAGAGGTTTATAGTCCGACTCCAGGCCTCTGAATTGCCTCCCCATCCTTTTTTCACAGATTTAACCAGTAAAAAAGTGATTCAGTCTAATTATCAGAAGGACCATTTAATGAAAAGAAACATCAATTTGATGGTAAAGTCCTAGTGAAATGATTAAAAAGAAAAACGAGTGTGTTTTCTCCAAAACTGTACCCTGTACCTCCAAGACCTTTTTTATATAATGTGTTATGTAACTAAAGCTGCTATTGCATCTAACCCCATTCTTCCCTATAGCAATGTTTGAGATAAACAATACTGGTCCCACATCCAAATCACTTAGGTACATTAATAAGCTGCTCTCATGCACATGGTCAAGCTAAAGGTAACTGACTGAATAAATAAACAGAAACCCATGTATTTTTAGTGGATGGTTGGGGCACAATAACAACGAAAGTGCCTGGTTTAAATACAATCACTGGTCAGGGACAGTGTCTGCCGAAGAGATCGAACCATCTTGTGCATTTTGTAAGCTTTTACCCGACCTCTTTAGTGCATGAAGATTGCAGAGGCAAAAAGCATATAATCTTTGGACTAGAGATTGCTACAGTGCTTACCAGAGGAATCATAGAAAGCAGCTCCATCTTGAATCTGACATTTTACTGTGAACTGTTGTGAGAAAACACAGGCCTGAAAACAACTCATTGAAATTGAATCCAAAGTGTGTTTTTCAGAACTTCAAGCTCCGACAATGACAAGAAGGCACTGCAGAGAAAATAACTACACAAACTCACTACATGACCTTATAATCTAGTACTTGAGGAGACAAATAGAACTTTATCTTTACCCAAATCCAATTAAAGTGGAAACGGGGCAGGGGCCCCAGCTACATTTGTATCTCCAGATTCAATCTGCACTGCTTTTCAGAAGCAACACTAGATTATTACTTTATTTGATTGCAACAATTATTATAACAATCAGCTTTCCACCTACCAGACACTGACTGTCAGAGCAATTTTCTGCACCCCATTTCAAAACGGAGCACTGATCCTGCCAGAGAAACATATTCACTTTCTCTCACTAACTGTTTAAAAAAAAAGAAAGAAATCTATGAAGCATCCACATGACTGCTGTTTGGTCAACAGGTCTGACTGCGTATTCAAATACACAAGCACACAAACATACACCTAAGTCTTGCACCTGTCCCTTCTCATACACCCAAGTAAAGAGCCCTGACCCAGGAAAGTAACGAGACCCATGAATCTTGAGAAATACACACACTGCTCACTCCCATTCATTAAAGCAGTACCCCAGGGGTCCTCCGCCTGCACATTTGTCTCCACGGTGTCAGGGCCACGAGCATTCCTACACTCAACGCGGCAGAGTCTCAGCCTGCCAGGGTCCACAGGTCCAAAGGAGAAGCACCACTTATAAAACTAAATAAGTAGCAACCTGGGCAAAGTTGCAGCCAAGGTACTGTTGACTGCTGATGACCTGAATAACTCATGATGTGCAGATATGCTCCTTTACAAAGGTCCTGCAGGCTGCGGATGCATTGTCAGTGTCCGGTTGCTTCGTGATGTTAAAGAATAGACTGGTGATTATTTGGACTGGACCCCTTGGTTAGACTGGTTCCACATTCACATAGTTGTAGTGCAGACGGCAATGATACATGAAAAGTCTGTAAAGACATCATTGCATAGAGGCATGAACATGTTAGGTGCTTTATTACCAAATGAGTGTAAAGACAACCACCCCTGTAAAGCAAATAGTATTATGTTCATGTACACACACACTTGCCTGGACAGGATGAACTGACATACAAAACAACAGCTTGTTTGTACTAAACATCTCCTTTGATGTGCGTGTTAATATTCAGCATGTCACTTGTCTAATATGCATTAGCTTCTGTTTGTTTAGACCTTACACTCCTCCTGACAGTGGGTTTATAACTGAAGTGAAAACATACACACTTATTATTCTGTCATACCAACAGTTGGTCAAAAAGGAAGGTGTCTCTGTAACAGAAGACCATAGAACATCTGAGCTTGAAAGAGATGGAAGTTACACCCAAACTGAAGATCAACACATCTGAAGAGGAACAAAGCCAAACACAGTAGTAGACCAAGAGTCAACAAGAGTTACAATGTGCCTTAGGTACTTGATCTTATGGGCGATTGATGCGTAAACCTACAAATTATATTTTTTCATGCTGAGACAGAAAATGTTAAACCCATAAACAACTCAGCAAAAGAGATGAGCACACCAACATGGCAGTGGCATCTGCTGATACCACAGCACCAGTGCATATAAGTTATCAAGTGCATTATAACTTTAGCAATACAACTGGGCTCACAGATGCCCAGTGGAACACAGGTCATGGACATCTGAATACTGACATAGCATAGCAGTGGTGTGAAGGGTCTTCATCAAGGTGATTCTGAACATCACTGCCAAAGAAATACACATTCACAAAATGTATTTGAATATCAGAATGGTTTTTAACTACACATAGTATATGGGACCAGCCAGAGAAAGTATGCATTATCCTTCTTGCACCAACCTAAAGAGCACTGGCAATGACAAGATCTGGCAGCTCAAGGGTCATATATACATCATGTACGGTCAATAAATAAAGGTGAATTGTCAATAGTAATTGCATTAAATCCCATATTTCACTGCACCCGTCATGACTGGATAAACCTGTCAGGGCACCCCCTCCTGATTCTTGTCCACCCCTGGTGCGTTGTGTACCGCCAAGTTGAACATGTACACAACATGTGGGAATAAAACTAAGTGGGCTCAGGTTTGCAGTGTGTCAGTTTGGTAAAATGCAACATTATTCAGAAACACTCCGGAGCCATCGCCTCTCAAAACCACAATGAGGTAGAAATTTTCTGAAGGCGGAAATCTAAAAGTTTTAAATAAACATTGCAAAGTAAGTTGAATAAACAAGTTACATAAGACAGCAAGCATGTACCCCCAAAAATATGGTTTACAAAAACGAATTATTTTACTCTGTGAATGAGTCCAGCTGAATGCAGGGTCATCAGATTGTCAGTTATCATTAAGTAAGGCCTTCACATTAGAAAGGCAGGTTTAAAAAAGTCCATTATGCCACAAACTCTGCAGAAATGAAATGCAATCAAGTCATTTTCTAGTGTATGAAATAATAAAAACAAGTTCAGGTTTGCACCGACACCATCAGCAGACTGAATCCAGGGTACATAAAAGGAGAGGGACAATTCACCTGGGATCTCTAGTCATATCACAACTTGTTCAAAGCCTGCTTTTATGGACTTTATGACCAATACTTAGCATAACCATCTTAACATTTTGTGCCCACATTTTACTTCACTGCCAAATACTATAGTGAAAATTACATCTTTGATCCCTTTAAATTTCTAACACAGGGACTCTGACAACCACTAATTACTGACATGGATTAAACTTAATAAGTGCCTTAAATAGACAAGTTAACATTTTCTGTATAGTGAAGATGGTGATGTGACAGAAACAAAGCCAGTCACCTCAGCAAAGCACCATTTCCCAAATTAGAGTCACAGATTCAATGTTGACCATGTTGTGTGACAATTTCATTTAACCATGCTCGTTTAGTGCTAATAAAGCAGCAATGACACCCTGTTCCTGAGTAACAAATGCAATTCAGTCCATTAGCCAATCTCAGCCTAACAAACACAAAATCAATTATAAGTGCATTACAATCTAATTTTTAACTACTAGAACTGTGCAATCGGCGGTATGGATAAAGGTTTGAGAAATGAACTATCCAGCGGCTTCGCTTTATGACCTGTTCAATATTTTCTGTTATCACATACAGGCTCGACCCAAACAGATTTATCCTGGCAGCAGTACAAACCTTTGCCTTTCAGCGTTCTATATGCATCAGTGAATAAAATACTTCAACTCAGACAGCTTATGAGCAAACAGGCCATATAAGGGGCCTCCCTACAGAGTCTGTTGTTGCTATATGACAGACTGGGAGTGTGAAGCTGGAAAAGGGCAAACTTTGACACTACAACATCTGACTTGTGGTGTAATAAAAGATGGACTGCAATTCTAAGTCACAGAGGAAGCACATTAACTGTTCAACTAGGTAAACTGTCAGTGATGAGAAGTTGGGCAAAATAAGATAAGTAAAACTTACCTTTTCTTAACATTTGCACAGGTTTAATCCATCTCTGCACACCGCAGCACAAACCAGATGCTATCGCAAGAAAAATGGGGAAGTGCAGCCTCACTGATGTTCTGCTTTAACACAACATAAAAGTCTGGTTTGCAGGGGAACCTGTTGCACATCTGAGCAAAACCTGAGGAGTTAGAAGGCATTGTGTGTCTGCCTTTGAATCACCCCCACCCCCCAAAAAACAAAAGCCCTACATGGTTTCTGTTGCTTTAATAGGCACAGGTTAGGTTAATGTGCTGCAAGCTGAAGTTTTCACATCACTGGTACAGTATTTACTTCAGTTTATACAAATACACCTCTGACAGACAGCCGAACACCCACAGTTAGACAACATCTTTATTCTCACAGTTAATACAACAACAACAAAAAAAAAAAACAAACAAACCGCAGAACTCGCAAAACAGTTAAAGGTATTGAAAATATGAACATCACCTTGCAACTATATAATGCAGTACATTTTCCTGGACTATGCATGTGTATATGTGCTTATGTCCACAAGGATGTGAGAGATTGAGCCACTAAAAGTGGGAGAGTAAACTGTCTTATCAGGGATGTGCAGGTCCAGCCCAGCCATTCTGAGTGTGCGGCAGAGGGTGAAACGAGTGCTAGCTACTGCGCTGCTCGTGCCCACAACAGCCACCACTCCCACATGAACCCAGCACAGGCAAGAAAAATTGGCCGATTTACAACAAAGTGATTTCTTTTGTGGCTTACTGACCCACTCTCTGCTTTACATTGCAAAATAATAATAATAATAATAATAATAATCACAAGGAAAGAAAAACCTTTTTTGTTCACAATTATTCAACAAAGAAAAGGTGAACAATTACTGTTAGTGCGCAACTACTCATTCATTGCATTCACTGGGAGGTAACAGCAAAAATCTGTAATTTGTTTGTGTTCAGAGGAGAAACAAAATAAAATTGCAAAGGCAAGTCAAACGAGAACACTCTGCATAGGTCGCAGGTCCCTACTGGGCAGTTTGCTTCCTTATGTTCATGATCAGCCTCTTGCTGTAGTCCTTATGGTCAACAGGCTTCACATCCATCACTGTGGCCTTGATCCTGGATTCATCCTGAGAGAGAGACAATACGAAAGCCATTCATATGATATATATCCACTTCCTTCACAGCAAAGCCCCGAGTCAGACGAGCAGGGACAACACACAATGTTTAACATCATTTCATACAAAGGTCTACTGCAAATAGAAGCACGGATGGATTGTATTTTAGCTGTAGTCATCTCCTATACTAAAATGTTCAAGATGTCAAGAATACACACCAGGATGTATTTCTGAGTATGCTTGTAAACAATCAATGTGCAACTACTGTCTACCGGAAACATGGCGCAGAGGCATCTTTCCTTCTAGGACAAAGCAGCTTAACATGAGACATTTAGGTATCTGAACTGTGCTGGCAGTCAAATGTTTCACATAAAGCGGCAGCTTTTAAAGCTATAACCACCTCTCCACAGCCGTCTAGACAGGGAAGGTCATCTCTACCAGGGCCATTATTCTCGCACTTAAACAGAGGTTACACACATTTTGTCTCCATTAATCCTCTGCTGCTGAACTGGGAGAGTTGCAAATCACCAATATGTTGGACTGGTGCCCATATTCTCTAAGAACAGCCTACACTATATCCATTTCACTGCCTGTTTCATGTTATATACCAAGCATGAAAACAAAGACTTGCATCTTCACAACTTGACATATGGTACACAAGAATGACTTGCCATGCCATACAATTTGTGTAGCTAAATGAACCTGATACAAAGACTTTAGTAATGTACGGAACAAAACAAAGATGTTAACGTTGGATACAATCTTGCATGAGTTAGGAAGCAGATGCAACATGGACAATAGGTTAAAAAAACCCTAGTAGAGAGAATAAGTGTGGATCCTTGGAAAAATCTGGAAACACCTTTGGAGCACTGGTTAAAAAGGTACGCTGCTGAGTTAGCGGCCCTGGTTGCACTTTGGGGAAATATCATGCGGATCATGCAAGCGCATGATGATACACATCCCTGCCACCAGTTTCAGCAATGCACCAAAGGTAAGAAGAGGTCGGTGTGCTAGCACACATGGATATATACAATGAATGAATCACATTATTTAAAGAAAAACAGCAGCTGCCAGAGGCTGCAGGAATATAAAATGCATTTAAACATATACACAAGGTCTCAAGGATCCATACAATGTGTTTTGGTGAATAACACAATTTTATTCCAGAGGGTACCTCAAAGTGCTGACCATCTGGGTTTCTAAAAGGCTGCTGGGGATTTATCATTCAGAAAAATGAAAGCCTATAGCTCTGTGAAGAAGTTTCACATGTATACCTATAGCCTTCTGTCTGGCTATTTGGTTTCAACACTAGCAGAGTCACATTCTGGCAAAGAAAGGAAATCCAAAGGTCACACTGTTTTTCAAAAGACTGATTTTCTTATCTGTTCTTTCTCCTACATCAAATGTAGGAATAATACCCAAAGTCCACTTCTTGCTTTTCTTTTTAAAAAAAGGAATGAGGACTGCATTCTAATGTTGTGGAACTCTACATCCAGCATACAGACTGACAGTGATGTTGACTGATTACAGCTGATGAGTGGGTGAGTCCAGATGACGTGTGTGTGAACCTGTAAGCAGTCAACATCACACAGCTAGGCTGGGTGTTGATCCACTCTAGGACAACCTGTGCTGGGCTCCCGACAGCTATCACTGCGAACGTGTGTGCACGTGCCTAAGAGGAGCAACACACACACACACACACACTCGCTCCATTGTGAAAATTCTTCTAACAACTTGAAACTTGCCAGAACACTTCCAGTATCCAACAGCCAAGGAAACCATTTCACGTGTCTCCTATACAGACATGAGAAGAGAGCAGCAGGGATGAAGCGTTGACTGTAAATTCACACAGGCGCTCGTACACTATAGTCTAATGAGGTATTTAATTAATGAGACCCTCTCTCTAAATCCCAGTGTAACCTTTGATCACCACACACAATGTGCAAGTGGCTCTTGGAAACTGGGTAACTGCAATTGATCTTTGGTGGAATAAAAGGCAGCAGTACTCAGGAAGGTGAGTATTAGGAACCACTTCATGACTGAACACACACACACACACCTTCACCTTGCACTGGAACGTAAGAATAGCGTAACAGAGTCCATTATAGAATTGGTGATGGTCATATATTGTCAGACAGGCAGGACAATTTGTCAAATGAGTCACAAGGCTTGACTTGCACTTACAGTACATAGCACTTTTATACTGTGGCACTCAAAGTGCTTTACACTACTTGACTGTTCACCCATTCACACACTGATGGTGGCAGAGCTGCCATACGAGGCCACCAAGAGCAACTTAGGGTCCAGCGCCATGCCCACTACCACTTTGACATGTGGAGCGGAGAAGTTGATTAGGGGACGACCCACAGCCGCCCACGTTTTTGTATAAAACTGGGCCTGCATTGGTTAAGACTGGGGAAGTGCTGCCATAAAAAGCCTTAATATCCCCTTTATTTTAAGTGTCAGACTCTTAAATCAGTTACAGTGTCTAGACACAGAGGGACAGTAACACCTTAAGAGTGCAACACTTTTAGCTGCAAGATTTACAAGCAGCCAATCACTGACCCGTTGTTTTTTAAAGAAAGAATGCATTTAAAGCAAGTCATTCATCCAGAGTTACTACACAAATACATGCAATCAAAATGTATCATCATCTCAAATGCCAAAACACAACGGAATTTTGATTTGTGTGAAAGTGATTGCATTATGCATCATTCCCACATGAACCAACTGCACATCACACTTGATCTGATAAACACTAATTAATCATGGGATGCTTTGATTTAAGAGCATCAGGTAAGTGACGTGGCTTTTGTTTCTCAATGGCACCACATATTTATCCTCAACACTTCATGCTCATTTATTCAAGAACTGGGGGTGCCATTTGAATGTAGCTTTGATTCTATGCTTAATGTGACAGTAGTTGTGTGAAATGAACATATTGGGCACAATATATAAGCTAGGGTATCATATATTAACTTATATGCTGCATATGTGTTAATTTAGAAGTAATAAATCATGTGCTGGTGAAATGTTTAGGATAGAATGAATGCATGAAGTAAAATGACTGATATTCAGCTGATATTCATTAGTAGCAAGGACAACAGCGGGTTGGCTGAAAGTGTCATTGTACAGAGGAAGGCTGAAGGCAGCACAGAAACCCACTTAGAATGAAAGGTTCTATGTAGCAGGCATTCAGCTCCACATCCCCCATTTACATTAATGTATAAAAGATTCTCAGAGATCAGCTGACTTTGCAGTTGCATGCCTATGCCATTTGAATACAATTAATGACCCATGATGACCTTCCAATTTAACAAAGCATTTACACTATCATACATACAAAAAAGCTGGAAAAAAAACAAAACATTTCCTACATTGCAGTGGGAGTTTTGTGTAAAACTTAACATTCACACTTAATGTAGTGTGTATCCTTTTAATCCAGAATACATGCCCACAGTTTGTTTACTTTGCCAGTGTAGCTTTCTTGGCTGCTACAGGTCGAGGCTAAATCTCACAGAAGGCGTTTTGCCGCTTGCCCCTTTCACTAGGGCTGGGTATCATTTAGGATTTTTCTGACACCGGTGCTAAAACAGTACTTTTAAAATGGTGCTGTGCCAAAACTGTACAAGAACTGATACTTTTAAAAAACAAACAAAAAAAGCAGCATAGAATCGGGCCATAAATTTCATAATTTGAAGGACAAGGCCATTTGGGCTTCGATTGCATACATTTCCAGAAGGCACGAGACCCCTTGACTGGGCTTATGTATACAGCCTGAGCAGGAAAGTTACAAAGTTCTGTAACTGTGTATATTTATTATAATTGATATATTAAACTAAGCTCTTGTTGGTCTCTGCTGATGTTGCCTAAGACCACATGTCAGAAAAATGATGGATGTATTAAGGAGAGAACAGGAAAGGACGTCTAATTTCACTTAATTACTCTAACTGGAGCAATAATTATACTCTGCTGGCGTCACGGTGACAGAATGACCAGCATCACTTCTAGCATGGTGAAAACTAAAAATAAATGCATAATGGCTGCATATGAAGGTTTTCACTTGGCTGTCAGTATTAACAATATTAGTGCTTATTTAAAGTTTTCTCACAGCTTATAGACAGAGCCAAATATTACATCGATCTGCTTATCCAGTAAGTTGCTGCCCCTCTGACATTCTGGTCGGAGGGGCAGCAACCCTCTATGGGATTTGGAGAAAACACAGGTGAAGGAAGTGATCTGACAGCTCTGATGAGGGCACACCGGCCACTGTGGCCATGTACCTCTCACAGATACACAGAGCATCACGGCCAGATGCCACGGCAACAATGGCTGTCGTGAAATTTATACCCTGCATAAAACAAAGGCTGACAACATTAAAAACATCCCCATCCATTCCCAGCTCTGACTTCTGAGCTCCGAGGTAAAGGGAGCGTACCATTAGCATGTGACATGTAGTGTTGTTTCTGTTGCCTGTATCATCTGTTTCACAACACCACACAGCAAACATTTCAAATCAACGGGCATTTAAGTGGCACCGAAATCTGCACTGTGATTCAGCCTGGTACATATCAACCGTTTTGGTACCCAACCCTACCCACTCTTATTTCTCTGCTGATGTTCACAAACTATACTGGCTGTAAATGTGTCGTGTCTGCCTGTGGTGCAGTGGAAGTTGCTATACAGTTAGGCTGTGTTTACAGTTGCTGCCCTATAACTTGTGATGGTTTATCATTCACAAAGGGGGTAGGTGGAACATGGAGCAAGCAGAGAAGGTGAGGGCTGGGCGGAGCAGAGGTGATTGACTGTAGCGTCTCATGCTAGCACAAGCTAGCTGTAGCTTTAGCTGTTAAGGACATGATCTGTCCCACATCAAGAATATACAAAACTGTACACATGACAGCATTTGAGATCTTGGCACAATGACTGGCTTGTAGGATTGAGATCAAGAAAATAACTGAAAGAGGGGGTGCAGGTGTCTCTGTTGGAGGAATATGGGCTTTGAAGGCAGCAGCCAGCACATGCTTGTAGCAGTGCCATTGGCAGTTAGGATGCTGAACTGAAAGTGACAGACACAGTGGCCTCTTCTGTGTGTTGAAGGCGGATGCAGCTTCTGGCTTGGCTCCATACTTCCTCCTCCAAGTCCCAGCTCAATCAATTCTTTTATGCGCTTCCCTCAAAACAAAGGTCTAGCTGTATGGTCTACAGGAAACAGTGACCGTGGCTAATCTTTGTGTGCACCCTTCACAAAGCCACTGAAAATGAGCTGCATTCTAGGGCAAACTTGAGTATATTAGACACGGTTCTGCCAGTCAAAATGAAAGTTTGTTAACGAAGGCAAAAGCTATCAAAGAGAAAAACACAGCAGCTAAAACAAAAAAACATGTCTAAGTTCTATTAGTGCAGAGCTTAAAGAGAAATGGTGAATCATTCCATTTCCTCAAGTCTTTCACATTGGCATATTTTCTATTTTCTTGCAGTGATAACAGTCCACTTAGAAAACAAACCTGTAGGCATTTCATCAGACTAATTACAGTATCATTCCAGTTCTACTTACATTATACGTTTCTAGCTTCACTCTGTTGCGGAAAACAAAAGTGTTGAAGTTGGCTTGTTGGAAGACCTCATCAAACGCTGCCTCGTTCTGAAATGGAGAAAAATACAACTGGCTCAGTTTCAGTGCAAGTAGTACACATTCTTTTAATCAAATCTTAGTCCCTTCATAATCTCAACTGCAAAATAATGTATTCTTGTGATTTTCTAAAAAATTATGCCTGGAAGAAACCAAAGCACAAATTTGTCAATGCAAGATATCATTTGTGTGTGCGTGCGTGCATGTGTGTTTGGCAGTAACAAAGCCTGCAGTTTAGCTCTTGCTCTGGGCATTTCCTGAGGTCAGTATTATAGTCAGGAAAGGGAGTCTCACCGAGTCCTTGAGCTGTCCCAGGTAAGCTGCATTCTGGCCCAGGATGGCCTCTGCACTCTCCTGGAAGCAAGTCACCCACTGGTTGTCTCCGTAATCTGCAATGTTGGCCTGACGGATCACACACAGAACAAATGGCAGGAGTGAATAGGAAGAAAAGATAAATGTGTGCACAGTCATTTTGTGCACGGTCTCTTGACCTGCTGTTTACTGACAGGGTAGTAGCCGGATGCTTAAATACAGCATGTTGCCAACTAAACACATACTGCAGCTCTTAAGAAATTGCTATAGCCTCTAATTATCCTATATCCTGCTGGCAAGCCTGGCACAGCATGCAGAATCATGGTGCACTTGTGATATAATACAGTGCAACCAAATTCACAGCTTACGCTACAGCTTATGAACAACAACATGTCGACCGGTGAGTAGTACAAAACAAAAGATGCTCTGATGCTGACTGAGTTTTCCTATTTAATGGAAAACATCTGTTTTACAAAGCAGCTGAGAAAATGAACTTGTATTTGTCTCCAGTGCTGCACTTTCTGTAAAATGACTAACAGTGTGGAAACCTGAAGCAATTAACACGACATAGCTCTAATGTAAGTGTAAAGGAAATCCAAAATGAAGTCATCACTACACTGTGTCACATAAACAGCAGAATTTACTTCAAATATCTCTGGGTCATAAGGCAAGAGCCACGTGAATGTTAGGAGAAAGTTGAACAAAGACACTGAGTCCAGAGAGTAGAAAGGCAGGGCCTGAGAAGAATGAAGGATCCTCAGCAGAAGGATCCTCTCCGGACTACACAGGAAGAACAAGTCTTTAAAGTAAGTGCATTAGCATACAACTTGTGTGTGGAGTGTGACACAAGTGAAAAGTTTTAAGGAATCCAGGACTGAGACACTTACAGAAAGGATGAGGCGGTACTTGAAGTTGGGAAACTCTTTGTCACACTTCTCACATCGGAACATGCCGTTGTGTTGGTCTACCACCTTTTTGTTGCAGTCCTGGCTTGGGCAGGCCTGGTAAAGGCAGTTTTCCTTTCGCAGGTACACTATGGTAGCTATGCAGGTGTAGTAGTCTGCCTAAAATATAATACAAACAAAAGTTCACTTTCACATGTTACTGAAATGCACTTCTTAGGACAAGCAGTCTTCTGGCTCTCATGCTCTTTGGTTTGCATGTTAAATCTGTTGAAACCCAGGAAACTGCATGAAATTAACATAAAGATGACATTTTCAGGAGCATGTAGTCAGAAAGCAACATTTGTGCAGTAGATGCAGGTACACACCCAACCAGAATCCTAACAGCTGACACAGTAATACATATAAACTAGTAATGTACCTGCAACTTTTGAGGGGAAGAGGCAAACTTTAGAAAGTGTCTGCACAGAAACAGCCTTCAGGAAACACCGCGAGCAGTGGAAAGCACCCAAGCAAGTAACATTCCTTTCACATTGGACAGAAAGAGATGCTTACAAAAAGAAGATGCATCCAAGTACATTTACCCCTCATTAATGCCACTATGTAAATGCACTTATGTTAATTGAAGAGCTATGTATGGACACAGGCATCTATGATTAGCATCCCAAAAAAAGGCCTGGGAAAACAAAACAAGACAGCCTGGTATATTTTGAAAATTAAGGAACCTTCTTTAAAATATTTCAGTGATCTGGCCTCCCCGATTCATTTTTAGTTTAAAGAATTGTTTACATATTACCATAAAGAGATGCTCTACTGTGCTTGGAAAAGAATTTAGTCATGTGTTTCTTTCAAATATAGAACACATTCTTAAAGTAAAATGAAAGTCAACTCCTTCCCTTCTCTTTTCCAAGTGCTGACCATTGCATTATTATGACAAAGGCATTAGACCCCAATTAACTTCCAAAACAGGACGACTAATACCCAGTGACATATGAATGAACAAAAAGCCCTTAAGAGTGTGGTGACAGCAACAAAATGAGAAAACTGTCCAGCTCCAACACACTGAACCATTTTCTCATGACTGATTTTTGATTTACAAAAACAACCCAGACATCAGCCTCTGCTGCTTTTCCAAAAGATGTTCAACTGATCAAGTAAGCATCTGTGACTGACTGGCACTGCAGAAGCTGGAAGAGGACAGAGGAGTGCGTTTCTAGCCCGTCATAGGCCTTTACAAATGCAGTGTCAAGCCATCAAGAAGGAGGTGGCCACTTACTGTCAGAGGATAAACTAGGTAGGTTTGTTAACGAAGGCAAAAGCTATCAAAGAGAAAAACACAGCAGCTAAAACAAAAAAACATGTCTAAGTTCTATTAGTGCAGAGCTTAAAGAGAAATGGTGAATCATTCCATTTCCTCAAGTCTTTCACATTGGCATATTTTCTATTTTCTTGCAGTGATAACAGTCCACTTAGAAAACAAACCTGTAGGCATTTCATCAGACTAATTACAGTATCATTCCAGTTCTACTTACATTATACGTTTCTAGCTTCACTCTGTTGCGGAAAACAAAAGTGTTGAAGTTGGCTTGTTGGAAGACCTCATCAAACGCTGCCTCGTTCTGAAATGGAGAAAAATACAACTGGCTCAGTTTCAGTGCAAGTAGTACACATTCTTTTAATCAAATCTTAGTCCCTTCATAATCTCAACTGCAAAATAATGTATTCTTGTGATTTTCTAAAAAATTATGCCTGGAAGAAACCAAAGCACAAATTTGTCAATGCAAGATATCATTTGTGTGTGCGTGCGTGCATGTGTGTTTGGCAGTAACAAAGCCTGCAGTTTAGCTCTTGCTCTGGGCATTTCCTGAGGTCAGTATTATAGTCAGGAAAGGGAGTCTCACCGAGTCCTTGAGCTGTCCCAGGTAAGCTGCATTCTGGCCCAGGATGGCCTCTGCACTCTCCTGGAAGCAAGTCACCCACTGGTTGTCTCCGTAATCTGCAATGTTGGCCTGACGGATCACACACAGAACAAATGGCAGGAGTGAATAGGAAGAAAAGATAAATGTGTGCACAGTCATTTTGTGCACGGTCTCTTGACCTGCTGTTTACTGACAGGGTAGTAGCCGGATGCTTAAATACAGCATGTTGCCAACTAAACACATACTGCAGCTCTTAAGAAATTGCTATAGCCTCTAATTATCCTATATCCTGCTGGCAAGCCTGGCACAGCATGCAGAATCATGGTGCACTTGTGATATAATACAGTGCAACCAAATTCACAGCTTACGCTACAGCTTATGAACAACAACATGTCGACCGGTGAGTAGTACAAAACAAAAGATGCTCTGATGCTGACTGAGTTTTCCTATTTAATGGAAAACATCTGTTTTACAAAGCAGCTGAGAAAATGAACTTGTATTTGTCTCCAGTGCTGCACTTTCTGTAAAATGACTAACAGTGTGGAAACCTGAAGCAATTAACACGACATAGCTCTAATGTAAGTGTAAAGGAAATCCAAAATGAAGTCATCACTACACTGTGTCACATAAACAGCAGAATTTACTTCAAATATCTCTGGGTCATAAGGCAAGAGCCACGTGAATGTTAGGAGAAAGTTGAACAAAGACACTGAGTCCAGAGAGTAGAAAGGCAGGGCCTGAGAAGAATGAAGGATCCTCAGCAGAAGGATCCTCTCCGGACTACACAGGAAGAACAAGTCTTTAAAGTAAGTGCATTAGCATACAACTTGTGTGTGGAGTGTGACACAAGTGAAAAGTTTTAAGGAATCCAGGACTGAGACACTTACAGAAAGGATGAGGCGGTACTTGAAGTTGGGAAACTCTTTGTCACACTTCTCACATCGGAACATGCCGTTGTGTTGGTCTACCACCTTTTTGTTGCAGTCCTGGCTTGGGCAGGCCTGGTAAAGGCAGTTTTCCTTTCGCAGGTACACTATGGTAGCTATGCAGGTGTAGTAGTCTGCCTAAAATATAATACAAACAAAAGTTCACTTTCACATGTTACTGAAATGCACTTCTTAGGACAAGCAGTCTTCTGGCTCTCATGCTCTTTGGTTTGCATGTTAAATCTGTTGAAACCCAGGAAACTGCATGAAATTAACATAAAGATGACATTTTCAGGAGCATGTAGTCAGAAAGCAACATTTGTGCAGTAGATGCAGGTACACACCCAACCAGAATCCTAACAGCTGACACAGTAATACATATAAACTAGTAATGTACCTGCAACTTTTGAGGGGAAGAGGCAAACTTTAGAAAGTGTCTGCACAGAAACAGCCTTCAGGAAACACTGCGAGCAGTGGAAAGCACCCAAGCAAGTAACATTCCTTTCACATTGGACAGAAAGAGATGCTTACAAAAAGAAGATGCATCCAAGTACATTTACCCCTCATTAATGCCACTATGTAAATGCACTTATGTTAATTGAAGAGCTATGTATGGACACAGGCATCTATGATTAGCATCCCAAAAAAAGGCCTGGGAAAACAAAACAAGACAGCCTGGTATATTTTGAAAATTAAGGAACCTTCTTTAAAATATTTCAGTGATCTGGCCTCCCCGATTCATTTTTAGTTTAAAGAATTTTTTACATATTACCATCAAGAGATACTCTGCCAAGAGGTACACTGTGCTTGGAAAAGAATTTAGTCATGTGTTTCTTTCAAATATAGAACACATTCTTAAAGTAAAATGAAAGTCAACTCCTTCCCTTCTCTTTTCCAAGTGCTGACCATTGCATTATTATGACAAAGGCATTAGACCCCAATTAACTTCCAAAACAGGACGACTAATACCCAGTGACATATGAATGAACAAAAAGCCCTTAAGAGTGTGGTGACAGCAACAAAATGAGAAAACTGTCCAGCTCCAACACACTGAACCATTTTCTCATGACTGATTTTTGATTTACAAAAACAACCCAGACATCAGCCTCTGCTGCTTTTCCAAAAGATGTTCAACTGATCAAGTAAGCATCTGTGACTGACTGGCACTGCAGAAGCTGGAAGAGGACAGAGGAGTGCGTTTCTAGCCCGTCATAGGCCTTTACAAATGCAGTGTCAAGCCATCAAGAAGGAGGTGGCCACTTACTGTCAGAGGATAAAGGAGCAATATGGAAGTCTGAGATTGTGACACAAAGGCTTTCTGACAGGGACAATTAATTGCAACAGACTTTGGCTGGGGGGAGGAGGGGGTTCTTGAGAGGCCTGACCCCCATGCCCCTCTGTATGGAATGTCTCAGAGCAGCTGAGGACAGCCTTGGCTCAGCTCCTTTGTCAGAACTTGGCCTCATTACATGCTTTGCTGACGACGAACATGAGTGTCCACAGCCCACGTTCAAACCTGTCCTCCTGAACAGCAGGGAGCTAATGCCAAGAGAAGCCTTCCACCTGACAGGGGGCTGCCTAGGGTACATGGTGAGCCTCTAGATGGTAGGATACAGCCAGGCGACAAATAAAAGGAAAAACCCAAATAAATGAGTGGTCTCTGTCAGGATGTCATTGCCCCTACCCACAGGACACAAGGAGCCACTGAATGGTTTGAGGAGTATGAAAATGATGTGAATCATATGCTGTGCCCTCACAGCAGGCATTTCCCAGCAGCCCTACCAATATTTTAGACCAATGATATTTTTATACAGTAGAAAAACTGGATCCGAAACAGTTAACAGTCCACAACTGCAACAACACGTTATTGAGATAAGGTTTCCAGATAACGGTTGCTCTTGTTCAACCCATGCATTATGCTTTCATCTGTTTTCTTAGGAATAATGTGCACTAGTCTTCACTGAGCTTCCAGCTAGCCAATACATGTCCCACCTTCAGTGTCTTACATTGTTACAGCCAGTGCAGCATTGTTCTTCTTGGGCCCCATCATAATCACTTGCATCCGATTACTGTTCTAGCCTTAATTCAATATTTTCCTCCTACTGTGATGATTACTAATGTCCCAGAGCAATTATGGTAACTTAAACAAGGTCTCTGCTCTACACAGTTTATATACTTCTGTGAGCACCTCTCCATTGAATACTTTAAGAGCAAATTACTTTACTTATCTGAGGGCAGAAATTTGACTGAGTGCGAAGAACAGAGCCTATCTAATCTTTGTAATCAATACCAGAGATAAACATACACCAAGGCTGTGAGAGGACACCAAAATGCAAGGGGATTAACAAGCACTAGAAGATCACACATACCTAGTCTTGTAGTGACTTTGTGAGTCAGTGATTATGAAGAGTCACCACACCAACCGTCAGGTCAAAGTACCTTTGCAAAGCACAGCTAAGAATGACACAGGTCTACAGCAGCAAGGCTACACAGAGCTGCGATGTGTACCTTGTCTCCGTGTCCCAGGTGCTCGGTCTTAACGTCAGCTAACGTCTTCCAGTTGGTGTTTCCACCCCCACCACCACCTTTCATCTCCGTCAGAGACTCTCCGTCCATGGCGTGGCCGTCCTTATCGTACCTATGTGAAACAAAATGAATGCCAGTCACAATCACAGTCAACTAAGAATAGCTATAAACACAACTAATGAATATATACACGGATTAATCTGTGGATTACACCCCTTAGTGTTTGGGACAAACTGTCAGAAAATAGTTAAGATATGCATCACGATTTCCCAACGTGTTGTTTAGCATGTGCATGTTGCTTATTTTGTCTAACTACAGTCCAAAGCTAAGATATTTAGTGTGATACCACAGAGAACCAAGTAAACCAGAAGGAAGGACTCTACAGTAGTAGACGAATAATAATCCAAAAGTCTATATGGAAAAATCCCATTGGCTTTTTTGTCAAGGGAACCGGCGTGATGCCAACTTCCGGGTCAGCCTAAAAAATACGTCATCCCTATGCCACTCCGCTGTCTTTGTTTCCTCATCAAAACCTAGTGACTACATTACACAGATGCAAAGGGACTGACAACGTCTCACTCATAGATTTGGGTGTGTTATGCCAGTAGCAGCTGATGTAGCCTACAGCTGCTTGCCTCAAGCAGAGATGAGCAGTGGGCTACAGAGATCTGGTAAGCTCACTTTTTGTATTTTTACATGTTCAAACTTGCAGTCTCAGGGCCTCAAAAGACTCAAGTGACATAGCCATTCATTTTAATACTTTTGAACCCAAACAGAGAGTACAATACACTGCTGTTCCTCACTGCCAACAGACTGCTCATTTAAGAGTTAAAAAAACCGCTATAGGCAGAGCATCCACTCAGGTTTGTGAAATCAGAGAATCAGGAATGGCTCAGCTGAGAGCAAGGCAGGCAGAGAGACTTGCAAAATCAATCAGTAGCAGAAAGAGAGATGAGTTGGCCAGGGTCAGGGCTGTTACACTGATATCAGAAACCCATTTTTACCCAGTGCTCCCAGTAATTTGGGGAAGACAATAGGAATAATAAGCGAGAAGACAGGAAGACACAGAAGAAAGATGGCTGGAGGTAAAATGCAACTGCAGAAAAAAAGAAACCAGTTTTAAATGGTCAACAATCAGAGCTTAGTAATCTGTTGGCCACAAGGCAAAGCGACACACAACGGGGAAGTCAGCTTGTAAATACAGGGAGAGCATGCCTTGCTCCTGGAGGCATGACTAATTGAAAATATCCCCCATTAACAGCTCAGACTGTGGCCTGAACAATGTGCACGCTGCCAATTACCCACTCTTACTGATAAATGTGAGCAATTCTTTATGGTGGCACCAATTTCCTCACCAGTGTACCAACACTGCTTTGCTTTCATTGTGCCTGCACCTAGTCAGAAACTTAAAAAAATAAATAAAAAAAATAGGATACCGACCAATCAAATTAGATCAAATGGAGACCTCATTTTGTGTCATAGCTCTACATCTTACCTAAGACTGATGTTCTACAGAGAAGAAAAGTGAAGTAACAACACAGCTGAGATGCTTAAAAATGCACCATACTAAAAGTTAGACTACCAGGTCTTCAGCATTGCATGGCTACTCTGGACATCTGGTTTGACAGTTACCCAAAGGGGCTGAGCACAGGCAGATGCATTGCTTAGAGCGGTGTGACTTCTAACAGTTATGACAAAGTTATCCGCAGGAACACCGATATAGATGACTGGAGGTTGGGAGACCAGCATGTGCATGCCACAGGCATGTCAATGAACAAGGACAGGAGCAGGGATGTGTCAGAGGACTAGGTATGAAGGGAGGATAGAGGAACTCTGACTAAGCAGTGTTATCAGCTCCATACTGGGGCTAATACCTGAGCTGCTAGTAGCAAACACACCACAAACACTATTACTCCATGTAGTCCGTGTCACGGTATTAGTCGTGTAGTGACTGACGTGCTCAAACATGAAAACAGTAGGAACACCGATGAACATCACAGTGGCTTCAGAAAGTATTCAGATCCCACGTCTTTATCCACTGTGTTGAAGATGTAATTGTTAGAAATTCTGCTAATTCATTCAAACTCAAAAACAGATCTCAAAGAGTAAGTCCATTAATTCAGAACTACGTAGAAGCCTCTTTGGCAGCATACTATTATGCATGACAAAGACAAAGCAACAAACGCTCACATTTGAGAGTATAAACAGAAAATACTTGGCATTTTTGCTTTATAAATGACTAAATCAAATATCAAAAAAGCTTTTTAATAAATCAACTAATCAGTGAAGCAACTAAACAACTCAGCTTGTCAAAAACAAAGCACAATAGTACACTGGATTAAACGAAAGCTCTCTGTGTCACCAAGCAGATCCAGTCTGGGCTGGTAACTTCAGAAAAAGTGCCTGCCCTGCAAAGCACAGCTGTCTAAGTGTGCCATCGCCACCTAATGGACGACTGCTTTTCCAGTTAGATGGGTTAAAGGGTATATATGGATAATTTTCACACAGTCAAAGTTACTGTAGATTTAATGTCAAGTTGACAACTGCTGTCAAGTAATCTCAAAACAAGGGAAGTAAAACCAAAGATTAGCCCAAGATCGAGATAATTACTGCATCACTCTTATATGAAAAAGAAAAAAAAAGCCCTGCTGCCAGAATAATTGTTATGACATTAAAGGGATAATACCCAGTTTTCCACATAACCACAGTGGAAGGTGCTGAGTGACACCACCAATACTCTGCACGAGTTTGCCTCAACAAGCTCACGAAGGAGACACTTTTCATTCGAGGAAGTCTCAAAGGTCTGCGACAAAACACAATCAAATCAAGACGCCTCCTCATGAGCAAAACAATGTTTCAGCAGCCTCGGCTGTACAGTAAAGACAGCTTTGTTCGGCGGAGGGAGAGAAAGCTTTGGGTTCTTCTGTGCAAGAATATAAAATGATCGTCAAAAGATTCATTTGCCGTTTAACTAATCTGCTTCCTTGTTCTGGTTTCCACAGTTCACATGTTGGTTTGCTTACAGACCAATCATTAAGGGACACACACTTCACTGACTGCTCCCATCCAGAGACCCAGGCCCATCACAAACATAACATACTGTATGTATTCAACAGCTAGTAGTATTCCAGTAAAACTAACACTCATCACTAGATATCTGTTTAAAAAAATAAAAGCCTCAAAATAAAGAACCAACGTGGGCATTTTCTCTTCACACCAATTGGTTGGCTTTGCTTCATCTCAGACATGCTGCATAATGAGCTCGTCTTCACCACAGTCCTCATTTGGATCAACTTGGACTAAGAGTAATGAGTCAGGATGGTTTCCTTTCGTTTCTCACTTAAAGGAAACCACTGTCAAAAGACAACCCAGATGGGCCAGCCCCTCGTCTGCAGTGCAGAAACCAACAAGGATTTAAGGATCATTATCTCTGGCTGTCCAACTGAGGAGTGACTGGGGAAAGTGGCAAACAATGTTCTGTTATTAA